GGGCCCAAGTGAGTAAGTGTGCTCAGCTGGGCCACGGTGTTAGCCAAACATTTTATGTATCTACAATTCACCTAAGGTTTCCTGGAACTTGAGGTTTCAAGATTCATGGAAAAGTAAATATACAAGGACTAGAGGGCCCGGTGCACGAATTTGTGCATGGGTGGGGTCCAGCCTGGCCCGCCCTGCCCCGCACAAATCAGGCTGATTTAACCTGGGGTGGGGGGGCGGTTGGCGGGCCACCCCGCCCCCTGGTTGAACTCCAGTAAGGAGGGTTTTGACCCCTACCAGATATCAAAACATAAAGTTATGGCAATTAAGAGAATAGCATCTACACAGAAACATTCATGTGCATATAATAAATATGGTATATCAAGTCTGTAGTATTAAGGATGCCATATGATATTGAAGCAATCAGAAAAAGTAATCTAGATCCCTATTTCACACCACTTACAAAAATAAAATCCAGGTGGGATAAATATCTATTTAAAATACTAAATAAACTGTATAATATTAGAGGAAAACATTTATTAGTTTTGGGATAGCCTCTAAATAAGACACAAAGCACAAAACCACAGTCAAAATGAATAACTTGTGTGTCTGTCAAAGGGTACCACAACAGATATCCTAAAAACAAAAATTATTTGCATAACCATAGATATAATGGATTAAGATCTAGAATAGGGAATTCTCAGAAGTTGATTTTTAAAAAAAAGATAACTATAGAAGATTGGGCAAAGATTACAAATGTAGTTCAGAAAAGGAACTACAGGTGGCAAATCCTATCTAATAAAAGAGAAACATGGTAATTGGCGTACGACCGTTACCCTTCCCATTGGCTAATCAGGGCGATATGCAAATTAACTGCCAACCAAGATGGCGGCCGGCAGCCAGGCAGCTTAAACTGAACATGAGGCTTGCTTGCTTGCTTCAGTGACTGAGGACTGCAACGTTCCCTGCCTGCCTTGCCGGCCTCTGAACTTGCAGTTTAAGAAACATTGTAACATATAGAAGCTAAACAAAACCCCAGAAACCAGCTTTCAGCCGGCTGGGATCTCAGAGCTGGAGTTGATACAGAGTTTCGATTATAGAACCGAAACAAACCAGATACCTGCTTTCAGGAGCAGAGGCCTAAGAGCTGGAGCCTCAGAGCTAAAGCTGGCCCAGAATAAAAAAAAAAAAAGAAAAAAAGGAGCAGTTGGGAGCTTCAGTCCCAGCCTGAAAACAGCCCCCAGCCCCTCACCCAGACTGGCCAGGCACCCCCATGGGGACCTCCACCCTGAAGGGTGTGTGACCAGCTGCAAACAGCCATCATCCCCTCACCCAGGCTGGCCAGGCACCCCAGTGGGGACCCCCACCCTGATCCAGGACACCCTTCAGGGCAAATCAGCCAGCCCCATCCATGCACCAGGCCTCTATTCTATATAGTAAAAGGATAATATGCCTCCTTGGGATCAGCGGAGCCACGAGGCCTCCTGGCACCGGGATCAGTGTGACGAGGCAGCGCCCAAACCCCCTGATTGCCCTGCAGCTCTGTGTGTGACAGGGGGCGGGGCCACAACCTCATCTGCCCTGCTCTGTTCCTGTCAGGGGAAGGTGCCCCAAACCCCTGATCGGCCCTGCTCTGTGCCTGATAGGGGGGAGCTCCCCAACCCCCTGATCACCCTGCGGCTCTGTGTGTGACAGGGTGCGGCGCCCCAACCCCCCCACCCCACGGGCCCTGCTCTGTGTGTGACGGGGTAGAGCCATAACCTCCCCATCGGCTCTGCCCTGAGTGTGACAGTGGCGGCGCCCCAACCCCCTGATCGGCCCTGCTCTGTGGGTGATAGAGGGCGGCGCCCCAACCCCCTGATCTGCCCTGCTCTGTGTGTGACGGGGCGGTGCCCCAACTCCCCTCTCGGCCCTACTCTGTGAGTGACAGGGGGGAGCTCCTCAACCCCCTGATGGGCCCTGCTCTGTGCATGACAGGAGGAGCTCCCCAACCCCCTGATCGGCCGTGCTCTGTGCATGACGGGGCCGCGCCCCAACCCCGATTGGCCCTGCTCTGCGTGACGGGGTGGCGCCGCAACCTCCCCATCGACCCTGCCTTGAGTGTGCCAGGGCGGTGCCCCAACCCCCCAATCGGCCCTACCCTGAGCGTGACTGAGGGTGGCATCACAACCTCCCGATCCGCCCTGCTCTGTGCATGACAGGGGGCGGCGCCCCAACTCCCCAATCAGCCCTGCTCTGAGCCCAACCAGGGGCTGCACCTAGGGATTGGACCTGCCCTCTGCCACCCAGGAGCAGGCCTAAGCCAGCAGGTCGTTATCTCCCTAGGGGTCCCAGACTGCGAGCGGGCACAGGCCATGCTGAGGGACCCCCCCTCACCCCCCAGTGCACAAATTTTTGTGCACCGGGCCTCTAGTATATGAAAAAATGCTCACCTTTACTAGTAACTAGGGAAATTCACGTGTTGTAAAACACCATTTATGGCCTGTTTGGTGAATTTGAAAAGTTTGTTAATATTCTGTGTGGGTGATTTATAGGAACACAGGTCCTCTTAACTTTGTAAAACTTAAGATACCACATATTACTGGTTTTAAAGAAATTTTCATTTGTTTATAGATACTATACTTAGATAATCAACTGGGGAGCAGGGCAGATTCCTGGACTCCACTCAGGAGATTCTGATGTGGTCATTCTGAGATAAGGTCCATGTTTAATGTTGTGACCAAGCACCCAGGTGATTCTTTTTTTTAACAACAAGCAAACACGTTTTTATTTCAGAGAGAAAGGGAGAGGGAGAGAAAGATAGAAACATCAATGATAGACTAATCAATCAGTTGGCTGCCTCCTGCATGCCCCTCACTGGGGATTGAGCACGCAACTTGGGCATGTGCCCTTGACCAGGAATCAAACGTGACCTGGTTCATATGTCGACATTCAGCCACTGAGAAACACCAGCCGGGTCTCAGGTGATTCTGATGTGATAGATTCTGACCACATTTTGAGAAATTTGTTCTTAAGGGAAGGAAACGGCTAAAAGCCCAGGTCTGGGCTGGTACTAAGAATCATTTTGATTCTTGATCCCCTTGTCTCCAGATTGCAGGATACCTGTATGGGGTTAGCCCACCAGATAACCCCCAGGTGAAGGAAATCCGCTGCATCGTGATGGTACCACAGTGGGGTACCCACCAGACTGTGCACCTGCCTAACCAGCTGCCCCAGCATGAGTATCTCAAGGTCAGTGGGGTTTTCTGCTACGAGGGTTGGGGAGGGAAGGCAGACCTTACCTTCATGAGTGGGATTCCTGTCTGCAGATAGGGCTTTAAATCATCTTTTACTGCCCTTTGCCTATAGGAGATGGAACCCTTAGGTTGGATCCACACTCAGCCCAATGAGTCCCCCCAGCTATCGCCCCAGGATGTCACCACCCATGCCAAGATCATGGCTGACAACCCATCTTGGGATGGCGAGAAAACCATCATCATCACCTGCAGGTGGGCTTGAGCTCCCATGGAAAGTATGAATGGGCCAGCATTGCAGGCCAGGACCCAGAATGGTGGCCTAAGCTCTGACTTTATCCTCATCCCCTCTTTCAGCTTCACACCAGGCTCCTGCACACTGACAGCCTACAAGCTGACCCCCAGTGGCTATGAATGGGGCCGCCAGAACACAGACAAGGGCAACAACCCCAAGGGCTACCTGCCTTCGCACTATGAGAGGGTCCAGATGCTGCTGTCAGACCGCTTCCTCGGCTTCTTTATGGTCCCTGCCCAGTCCTCATGGAACTACAACTTCATGGGTAAGTGGGGAGCACAGGGAAGGGGCTGGGCCTAGGCCAGTGATGGCGAACCTATGACACGCGTGTCAGAGGTGACATGCGAATTCATTTTGGTTGATTTTTCTTTGTTAAATGGTATTTAAATATATAAAATAAATATCAAAAATATCAGTCTTTGTTTTACTATGGTTGCAAATATCAAAAAATTTCTATATGTGACACGGCACCAGAGTTAAGTTAGGGTTTTTCAAAATGCTGACACGCCAAGCTCAAAAGGTTTGCCGTCACTGGGTTAGGCCCTCATCCTTAGCACTTGGGGCCTGACTGGTTTGGAGATGGCCCAGGGGCCCCAGCTGGGTGAGATAGGTGGACCTTGTTAATATTGGACGTTTTTATCTACCCCAAGGTGTACGGCATGATCCCAACATGAAGTATGAGCTGCAGCTGGCAAACCCCAAAGAGTTCTACCACGAAGTGCACAGGCCATCCCACTTCCTCAACTTCGCCCTCCTGCAGGAGGGGGAGGTCTACTCTGCGGACCGAGAGGACCTCTACGCCTAGTTGTGTCCTCACCTCCTGCTTCAGACTCCCACAGGCTGGAGCCTTTTAGGCCCCCCCCCCCTCGCCACCTCCCACATACTAGCTGGTGACATTCATCAGCTTGGCCCCTTTTTCCTCTATTTTGTGCTTGTTGTTGTGTTGTTGACTCCTGGTGACCTGTAGTCCTGAACAGTATAATAAATTTTGTATAAATTGGAGTTTTTGAGTGTTTTCCCCCTCTGAGCTCAAATTCTGGGCGTAGGATTGGCAGGTGAAGGGAAAGGAGGACCCCTCAGGGGTTGTGGGGCCAAATATCCAGTAGACGCTGGGAACTGACATATGGGGGTTGGGCTTTCACACTCCTACCACCTTGACCACATTTGCCAATTTTGCTCCAAAATACTTGCAAATCATCCCTTGGAGCAGTTGCCGTTTCCTGAGCCAGGAAGCTTGTGACTTGTTCTCTGCAGCTGTGTGCCAGCCTGGCCCCTTAAGCTTTCTGTCACTCCTGGTCAGGGCACAGGCACATGCCTGGACAGTTGGCTCTGGCTGAGGCCAGTGACAGCCCAGCGACTCCTCACCTCTTGCCCTATGTGGTTGGCAGCCCAGTGGGGCCCCGTGACTCCAGGCACAGGGGTGGAGCCCGGCTTGGGCACTGGGGAGGGCATAACAAAGTGACCACTTACAGCCCTGAGCCTCAGCTCTTGGACGCCTGGCTGGAGGCTGGCTGTCCTGCTTCCTGTGACCTTGGGGACTTGAACCGGACCGGGCCCCGGGGGCCCAGGGCACGGTCTCCTTCCCCCACGCTGTTTCTTTAATCGCTCCTCCCCAGTCGCTTCTACCCCACCCTCTCCTGCGCTAAACTGTTTCCTGGGCGGGAGCTGTTTGGCTTTTTCCTGCCCCAGTTAGGGGTGGGGGCGGTGGCTGTCGCAGCCCTTGGCCTTCGGGGGACATGGAGCCCAGGAGGGCGGCGCCTGGGGAGCATAGCTGGAGGCCTCGAGTGGCCGCGGGGGCTGAGACGGCCGCAGAGCTCGTGTACCATCTAGCGGGGGCCCTGGGCACCGAGCTGCAGGAGCTGGCGCGCCGCTTCGGGCCTGAGGCGGCCGCGGGACTCGTGCCGCTCGTGGTGCGGGCGCTGGAGCTCCTGGAAAAGGCTGCGGTGGGGCCCGCCCCCGACTCGGTGAGTCACCGCCCCTCCCTCTGCCACCCGCGGGGTCGCCGGGGGCCTAACCCTGAGAGCCCGGACTCCCAGCTGCAGGTGTCGGCGCAGCAGGCCGAGCTGGAGCTGCGGCGGCTGCGGGACGAGAACGAGCACCTCCGCAGAGAGCTGCGCTGCGGGCCGCAGGGTGAGTGCGGGCCAGGGCGGGGGCGGGCCGCCCCGAGACCACCCCCCGGGCCGCCGCTAAGCACCCCCTTCCTCAGAGGAGCGCGCTCTGCTGCGGCAGCTCAAGGAAGTGACCGACCGACAGCGGGACGAGCTCCGGGCGCACAACCGGGACCTGCAGCAGCGCAGCCAGGAGACCGAGGCGGTGAGGGCGGGAGAGGCTGCGCCGCGGGGCGGGGCGGGCTCCCTCGGCGCCCTGCCCACCGGCCCCACCGCGTGCTCCGCCCCCAGTTGCAGGAGCAGCTGCAGCGCCTCCTGCTGGTGAATGCAGAGTTGCGGCACAAGCTGGCGGCGGTGCAAACCCAGCTGCGAGCCGCACGGGACCGCGAGAGCGAGCGGGAGCTGCGGCGTGCAGGGGTCGTGGAGTTGGCTCAGGATCAGGCACGGAACCTGGCCGGGGGTCCTGGCTGCGCACAGAGGCAGGAGCCCGAGCTGGCGACCGCAGAACCAGGCGGCCCGGGGACCCCTGAGGACCCCGTGAGTGCCCGCTGGGTCAGGGACCCTTCCCAGTCCTCACAAGGGCGGGCACTTGGGAAGTGTGCTGTGCTGCGTGGCAGGTCCGACGGGACGTTGGAAGGTGGCACACAAGTATGTCCCCCAAGCCGGCCTCTGTCCCTCTCTCATCTAGAGCACTGGTCTGTCGTTGTGGTGCCCCTTGCCTCCCCAGTCTTCCTGCCAGGCATTCCCTCTAGAACAGTGGTTCTCAACCTTGGCTGCACATTAGAATCACCTGGGAGCCGAAACCGGTTTGGCTCAGTGGATGGAGTGTCGGCCTGTGGACTGATGGGTCCCGCGTTCGATTCCGGTCAGGGGCATGTGCCTTGGTTGCGGGCACATCCCAGGTGGGAGATGTGTGGGAAGAAGCTGATCGATGTTTCTAGTTCTCTATCTCTCTCCCTTCCCCTCTGTAAAAAATCAATAAAATATATATTAAAAAAAAAAAAAAGAATCACCTGGGAATCTTTTTAAAATCCTGATTTCTGAGCCTCATCCTCTGGAAGTTCTGCCTCCTTGTTGTGGGGTGGGGCCACAACATTAGTAACAAACAGAATTTCCAGAGGATGAGGCCCAGAAATCAGGGTTTTAGAAAGATTCCCAGGTGATTCTAATGTGCAGCCAAGGTTGAGAACCACTGCTCTAGAATTACCGTGATGACCCAAGGGCAGAGAGGCGCCAGCCAAGGCTCCCCTCTGACCAATCCTTCCCTTGCGCAGGCAGATGCCCCGCAGGAGGAACAGTGTCCCTCCAACGTAGGGCAGTGCGGCTTCAGTCGACAGGAGCTTCAGCAGATCCTCCAGGAGCGGAATGAGCTCAAAGCCAACGTGTTCCTGCTGAAGGAGGAGTTGGCCTACTTCCAGCGGTGAGGGCTCTGGGCAGGAGCTGGGCAGCGGAGGGCTTCCGGTCACACCTGTTCCTGGGGCTGGGGTCACCTGCCTCATTCTTTGGCTCATTGGTATATAAACAGTGACATATGCCAGGCACTGTGCTGGGCACTGGGAGGACATGAATCACACAGCCCCTGCCTTCCTGGAACTCCAACCAGATGCGGGAAAGGGAGTGCAGAGGGGCACAGCAGCCACAGCAGCAGTCAGAGAAGTATTCCTAGGAGATGTGACACCTAAGCTAAACTTTGAGGGGTATTAGGCAAAGTGTTTCAAAACAGGGTACTTTGGTGTGAGACTTACTTTTGGTATCCCCATCACTTTTCCCTGCCCTTTCTCCTCCTCTGTAGGGAGCTGCTCACAGACCACAGGGTACCTGGGCTTCTCCTGGAAGCCATGAAGGTGGCTGTCAGGAAGCAGCGGAAGAAGATCAAGGCGAAGATGTTAGGGACCCCAGAGGAAGCAGAGAGCAGGTAAGTCCCTGCCTTCATTCTCACTGAGCTAGCCCTCCCTCCCTTGTTCTGTTGAGCCTGATGGCCCAGCCTGGTCATGCTCTAACCCAGTCTAGTCACCTCCGAAGTCTGCTGACCTATTCTGGTCACCCTATTGAGCTTGCTGACCCAGCCTGATCATCTTTTGAGTCTTTTTGTCTCAGACTGAACCTATCATCCCAGCCTCATCACCCCTTGAACCTAACACTCTTTTTTTTTTTTTTAATATATTTTTATTGATTTCAGAGAGGAAGGGAGAAGGAGAGAGAGATAGAAACATCAATGATGAGAAAGAATCATCGATCGGCTGCCTCCTGCATGTCCCTCACTCAGGAATGAGCCCACAACCCAGGCATGTTCCCTGACCGTGACCTCCTGGTTCATAGGTCGACACTCAACTACTGAGCCACATCCGGCCAGGCTAGTCTAGTTACTCTTGAACCTGCTAACCTGGCCTGGTCACCCCCTGAGCCTGCTGTCCAGCCTGCCCTGCTGAGCCTGCCATTCTGGCCTGATTACTCCTTGAGCCTACTAACGGGCCTGCCCTGCTGAGCCTGCCATTCTGCCTTGGTCACCCCTTGGGCCTGCTGATCTGATCTAGTCTGGTCTTGGTGACCCCTGAGCCTGCCTAGCCACCTCCTAAGTCTGCTGACCTATTCTGGTCACCCTGTTTAGCTTGCTGACCCAGCCTTCCCTGCAGAGTCTGCTACTCTGGCCTGAGCCTACTATCTGGCCTGCCCTGCTGAACATGCCATTCTGCTTTGGTCACCCCTTGGGCTTGCTGATCTGGCCTGGTCACCCCTTGAGCCTACTATCTGGCCTGCCCTGCTGAACATCCCATTCTACTTTGGTCACCCCTTGGGCTTGCTGATCTGACCTGGTCACCCCTTGAGCCTGCATTCCTGAGCCTGCCACCCTTCTCTCTGGATCACTTTGCTTCCACTTGCCATGCTTGCTGCGCATCCTGCTGAAGAATCCTGCTAATGCTGTTTCTTCACATTCATTCTTCGGGTCCCTGTCCTGGATGTATCTGCTGGTTCTCAGAGGAGTGAGACGGTAGCTGTAGAGACCTTCATAGAAAGCCAAAAGGCCTGGGTTCAAAGAGCTTCTGGGCTGGTGGACACATGGAGATGCAGGACTCATGGCGGGCCTGCAGAGGGCATGGCAGCCCTGTGCCCTTTCCCCATACCTTGCCCCTGAGAGCTCAGGGTGCACTTAGAGCTCAGGACAGCAGGGTGGAAGGATGCTTCTTCCATCTGGCTATTACTGAGTTATAACCTTTTATAATAAATCAGTAATCTAGTAAGTAAAAAATAAAGACTATAGCTGCAGGCTTGTCAGAGGTCTGCTGTCCATCAGCCTATAAAATAGAAGTCTCAACATGTCCATCTCCCCAGTGTTTCCTTCCCAGCTTTGGGGGCCCTGTTGTCACCCTGTTTTCCCCTGCTTGCTCCTGAGGGCCACACAGAAGGCTGACCATAGCTGCACTCCCATCGTCCCTCCTGGCCTTGATAAATGACCCTCACCTCTTTCCTCTCTCTGCCTCAGTGACGATGAGGATGGCTCATGGCTCCTGCTCTCCAGCGATAAGGAAGACCACCCCCCACCCCCTGACTCCAGAATACAGAGTTTGTATGTTGTGGGGAGAGGAAGAGGCCCCACCTTGGTTCTTTTCAGCATCCCCTTTGCTACTCCCCTGATGCCCACCCTGCTGTCCTGAGCTCTAAGCGCGCCCCTCCCTTCCTGCTTCTCTGACCCTGTCCCTTTCACCTCCTGCTGCCCTTTCTTCTTACTATATCCCCTGTTCTCACCATCCCCATCCTCAGCCCATATCCTTGATCTCTCTGGCATCCAGGCTCAAAGTACCTCTGGGTTCTCCCCCCAGCTTTGGCCGGTGTTATCGAGGTGGCGCAGAGGCCCTTGAAGCCAAGACCAGTAGCACAGCTCCCAGCGAGCGAGGCGGAGAAGAGGAGGCCCCACAGCGACCCCACGTGGAGCCTGTGGGCAGCCCCTGACCGGCCCTGCTTTGCTCTCGATGAACATCTTTGTCTCGGGGTCTCAGGTGCCCCAGGTGCCTGACCTTGGAGTCTGACTGTGGGTGGATGTGACCTCAAATGAGGACAGGGCTCCCTCCTGCCCTGCCCTCCCAGGCTCTTTCTCAGTCTTGGCCTGAGCCAGGGCACGACTGGGAGTCCAGCCTTCCTTCCTTCCCTAGATCCGAGCAAAGCCTCCCGGGATCAGATAAAAGTGCTTCCTCTCTGCGTCTCAGTTTCCCCATCCGTGAAATGGAGAGCTGACTACCTACCTCCCAGAGATTTGCACAGATGGCCTAAGCTAATGTAATAAAGGAACTGCCCGTGATATCCACAAACTGTTCCACGTCTGTCTGTCTGTGGTCGGCCCCCCCTTCCCGCCCTGCTTTGCCAGGGGTGAAGGCAGGCTGAGGTTGTCTCACAGGGTTTCCCCGGTTGTCACTGGGTGGGGAGGCTTCTCCCAGCTGGGAAGTATGACCTAATGGAAAACTCTGGCTCCCCCCTCACCCCACTCCCTGCCTGTTCCCAATATCCCAGGACTTCCAGTTTCATCTTCCTGCCCCCTCCAGACTGAAACCAGCCCCTTCAGGCCCCACTCGGCACTAGTGATTGGGCCTGCCCACCCTCAGGGAGGTGCCTCATGGCAGCCCTCCCACCACCGCCCCCTGGGCCTGGTTTCCTCAGGAAAAGCCTTGGGAGGAAACAGGGAGGGGGTTGGAGCTGTGGGGGCCAGGCTCACTCAAACCCTCTCACTGCACTGGCCGCCATGGGCCTGCGGCTGCTGCTCCCCCTGCTACTGCTCTGGACTCAGAAGACCCAGGGGTCTGAGCTGGACCCTAATGGGCGGCATGTCTGCATGGACAACAGGTGGCTCTTGTGGGAGGCTGATGGGGGCGGTGGCTGAACTGGTGCTGAGGCTTGGGGCGGGTAGTGAGGGAAGAGATCATGGGGCAGAAGGGAGGGAGGCTTGGGGACAGCCTGGAGGGTAGTGGATCGTCAGGACAGATGGTGGGAAGGCCAGAGAAGGGGAGGGAAGGGGTTGGGGTCAGTGGGCTGCGACTCCGCCAGGCCTGCCTGATGGGGCTGAGGCAGCTCCCACATCTCAGCCAGAGGCAGTGACCCACCTTTGAAACCAGGCTACCACCCTTCCTAACCCCCCTCCGGCTGACCCCTCTCTGCCCCGCAGCCCCTCTGCTGAGCTCCAGTGCTGCCCAGGCTGGAGGCAGAAGGATCGAGAATGCACCATTGGTGAGTAGCCAGGACCAACCCCCACACAAAGAGAAGGGAGGACACAGCTCAGTGACCTTCCTACCCTTCTGGGGGCTGATTTCCCCTCCTGAGCCCTGGAGCTGGCGTCCGTCCTAGGACACACACACCCAACCCTGAGGGAGCAGCTCTGGAGGGTCAGGGAACTGGGAGCCCCAGTCCTTCTGACCTCGTGGGTGTTTTTCAGCCATCTGTGAGGGACCCGATGCCTGCCGGGAAGACGAAGTATGCGTAAAGCCAGGCCTCTGTCGATGCAAACCTGGCTTCTTCGGGGCCCAGTGCAACTCCCGTGAGTCCTAAGTCACGCCTGGGGGATGACCTTGCTGGGCAGAACTAGGAGAGCGGGGAGGCAAAGCAGGTAGGACCGACATCTTGGAGCAGCAGGGCCAGAACCTCTCCAGTCTTCACTGAGGAAATTGAGGCCCAGGGACAGGAAGTGACGCTCCTGGGAGATGCCCTGAGTCATCTGGGTTTTGCCCAGATCCACAGAGCCCTACCTACTCACAGCTGCAGTTCTGGGCCCTTCACCTTTCAACTCAGAAAGGGTACTGGTGGTTCCCGTTCATTGCGAGATGGATGCATTCTCAGTCTCCCCCACGTACTGTATACCTGAACATGCATGGAGGGCCCTGGCCAGGTTGTCTGTCCTCTCTGGCAGAAAAGAAGGGCATGGATGGGAACAGGACAGCCAGGGGCAGCCATCAGGATTCAGGAATCGGTGGAGAGGAGACACGGGAGGAAATGGGCTTCTCCTGCGACCCTGATGGCAGCACCCAGGCCTGGGAGGCTCAGCTGTCAGCCCAGGGGAGGACCCAATGAGAGGGAGGAGGGGGCATGGATGAAGCCTCCGCCCCCCCCCCCCCCCCCACACACACACACTTCTGTGTGCTCCGGGAAAAGCCCCTTTCCCTCCCAGGATCTCTAAGTGTGTTCTGGAATGTGACATGGGAGGCTGGGTCACTGCTAAGGAGTTTTGTAGTTCGGAGTCCGGGGCAGGAAGTGAGCTTTGCCCCAGGAGGATAAGATGCCACAAGTTCCAAGGGTCTGTTCCTGGCTCTTGGAGGATGGGCCCAGCTCCCTCCTTTGTTTTGGGAGGGGGTCCAGAGCCTGCGTTTGTCCGAGGCCTGAGGCCGCTGACCCCTTCCATCTCTCCCCGCCCTTCCCTTTCCTGCCCCAAGGCTGCCCGGGCCAGTACTGGGGCCCCGACTGCCGGGAGAGCTGTGCCTGCCACCCCCATGGCCAGTGCGAGCCCGACACCGGTGTGTGCCGCTGCCAAGCCAACCGCTGGGGTAGCCGCTGCGAGTTCGAGTGCACTTGCAGCCCTCACGGGCGCTGCGACCCGAAGACCGGCGCGTGCCACTGCGAGGCGGGCTGGTGGTCGACCAAGTGCCACCACCGGTGCCAGTGCAACCCAGTGGCGGCCCGCTGTGACCAGGCCACCGGCGACTGCCTGTGCGAGGTGGGCTGGTGGGGCCGCCGCTGCAGCTTCCGCTGCAATTGCCACGGCTCGCCGTGCGCGAAGGAGTCGGGCCGCTGCGCCTGCCGGCCGGGCTGGTGGGGCCCCGAGTGCCGGCAGCGGTGCGAGTGCGCGCGCGGCCGCTGCAGCGCGGACTCCGGCCAGTGCGCATGCCCGCCCGGCTCCCGCGGCCTGCGCTGCGAGCTGCCCTGCCCCGCGGGCCGCTACGGGGCGCAGTGCGGCCACAGGTGAGCGCGGCGGGTGGGGGCGGCGAGGGGCACCTGCGCGCAGGGCGAGAGGTCGGGGAAGGGGAGGGGAGAAAGGCGGAGGGAGCGTGCAGGACCGGCGGTGAGGGTCAGGGAGGAAGTTGCGGTGCTTCCCATAAAAACCTAGGAGGGGCCTGGGGCGTGGCCAGTGTTTGAGCTTCCACCCATGAACCAGGAGGTCACGGTTCACAGGCCCGGGTTGCTGCTCCTCCCCCAGTGTGGGGCCTGCAGGAGGCAGCCGGTGGATGATTCTCAGAGAGAGAGAGAGAGAGAGAGAGAGAGAGAGAGAGAGAGGAGAGAAACATTAATCAATGATGAGAGGATCATCGATCGGCTGCCTCCTGCACGCCCCCTACCGGGGATGGAGCCGCAACCTGGGCATGTGCCCTTGACAGAATGGAGCCCGGACCCTTCAGTCCGCAGGCTGATACTCTACAAGGATGGGATGAAAGGGGGATAAAAGATCCTCAGTGCCCCAAAGTCCAGCCTCCCACACCCCTTTCGTCCGGTTACTGTTAATAACAATATAGTATAACAGGCCATACTTAGGAACAGATAAAGAATGAATCACGTGACAAAATGATTCCATGGTCCCTTTGAGACTCAGTGACTTTTAAACTTCGACCAACTCCACCCACAATAACACGTTTTACATCCCACCTATCGCACACACCCATGTATATTAGTATATATCTATGCATATATAACTGAAGTAAAAGCTTAACCAGACAACACATTTATCTTTACTACGTATATCACATATAATATACAGTATGTGAATATATAATATGTATATACTGTAATGTTTTTTATTCTCTCTCTTTTTTTTTTTTTTTGCTGCTGGTTGGGATCTGCTAAATTGGTTTTATGAACTTCCCTCTCCCCCCACCAATGAGTCTAATCAAAGTATATGATCCCAGATAATAAAGTATCTGAGGGAGAAACTTCAAGTAACTATTACGGATCAATGAGAAATTGAGATAATATAAACCTGCCCTAACTGGTTGCTCAGTGGATAGAACATTGGCCCTGGGACTGAAGGGTCATGGGTTCGATTCTGGTCAAGGGCACCATACCTCGGTTGCAGCTTCAGTTGCAGTGTGTTGGGAGGTAACCAATTATTTAAAAAAATATTTTTATTGATTTCAGAGAGGAAGGAAGAGGGAGACAGAGATAGAAACATCAATGATGAGAGAGAATCATTGATCAGCTGCCTCCTGCAGGCCCCACACTGGGGATTGAGCCCACAACTTGGGCATGTGCCCTGATCAGGAATCAAACCCTGACCTCCTGGTTCATGGGTTGATGTTCAACCACTGAGCTGCACTGGGCCAGGCTAAAATGCTTTAATTTTTATTCGTTTTCATGTTATGGGATAGGAGATAAACTACTGAGGTCCATCCCTGCCAGACCTCAGGGATGCTGTGGTTGGAAGGGTGGGGAGACGCTGGGAGGCAAAGGTTGGGGTAATAACTTGGCTGCTCTGACTGGTGACCCTGGAACCCAGGGAAGGATGAGTCCTGGAAATCAGGGGTTAGATGGAGAGGGCTGGAATCCTACTAGAGTTTATAGAGATCATTTATCCAATCTCTTTGTAGAACAACCTGGGGAAGCTGAGGTCAAACCTGCCTGAATGCGTTAGCTGGGACCTGGATGCTCTCCAGGGCCCCTGGAGACCTGGGTGGGCACTCCTTCCATTTGCCCCAGGAGCTTCCCATGAACTTCTCTTCCCACCAGCTGTGGCCACTGCAAGCAGAATGAGCCGTGCTCTGCAGACACAGGCAGCTGTAAGTCCTGTGAGCCGGGCTGGAACGGGACCCAGTGCCTCCAGCCCTGCCCACCTGGTACCTTCGGTGAGAGCTGTGGACAGCAGTGCCCCCAGTGCAGGCGTGGGGAGGCCTGCCAGCCAGACACTGGGCACTGTCTGAGCTGTGACCCTGGCTGGCTGGGGCCCAGGTAAGAGGTCAGCCTGCTCAGGATGGGGTATACCTTCCTTCAGAATCCTCACCCCAGCTGCTCCCTCTGGGGTAGGCGTCCCCTCCCCAAACACACATTCACACAGCCCCCTGGGGCTTGCCACCTGGCAAAGCCTGACGGGAGGGAGATGGATGCTGATGGGGCCTGGGCAGGGTTCTCTTCCAACTCCCTGCCACTCAGGCTTCCTGCCCTCTTCTTCCTCCAGGGATCTCTAGTCGGTCACCTATTGGGTTTGGCCCGGCTTCAAGGCCCTGTTTGTACCTGAGCTTCACTGCTGAGGACCCACAGTTGGGTCCCCGAGTCCAGAAGCATGGGGGACGATGGGTAGAGCCCCCTTTGGGGGCCGGGCCTGCCCTGTCCCCCAGTTCAAGTC